CTATGGAGCTCAAGTGGGCTGCAGCTCGCTGCTTGCAGGAAGCCTTTCGTTCTGTACTGTTTAATGCCACGTGCCGAAAGCACTGCTGCTGCTGCTGCTGATGCCGACGACCGGACACCACCACACACGGTGATTGGAACTGAACCCGATCGGTGGTTGAGGCCAGCCTTGATAGCTAGCTGCTTGCGGGGAGCCTTTCGTTGTGTATTTGAGAATACCACCACTCACCACGTGGTGATTGAATAAACACCGTTTGGTGAGACCGGATGGAATTCAACTTTGAAATCTGTTTTAGGGAAATCGCTTTTCGCAGGCAATCGGTGATAATTATCACTATCATAGTAACAGTTGCACATACGTGCAATTTTCCATAGTGACATTTTGAAAAATAATAATGTTTTAAATTTAGCAGATGCGTAGAAATATTTCTGATCGATTTGTGATAAAATTGTTGAAATTGGTCTAGGGGCAGCTGAGTTATTAACGTTCAAAATCTTTCATAATTGTGTTACATGTTCTATTTTCGGTTTTCACAAAGTGTACCCCCATATAAAAATCACAGACGTAGTCCTACGTCAAAAATTGCCAAAAAATACGTTAATTTGTTTCAGTAGCTCCATCAGTAGTTTTAAATTGGGTCTCTGTAGCAGAGAAGATTGAAGGTTGCATTTTATGATAACACAACAGGCAGTCATCAGAAGAATCAGAAGACGGTACTTTCAATATTGAACAAAATGTTGGTTCATATGTCAGCGAAGTAGGGGAGGAAGGAGTAAAACGATCAAACGTTGCTTAAGCACCTCTTTGTTCTCCAATTTGGAGGACAACCCTAACATAAATTATCATGTATCATCATTATGTAGTTTACAGCGTGCTCGTAAAACGATGCAAAATAGAATACTGTGACTTTTATTCTCAAATCAAACGTCTGGTTTCCAATAAGTAGGTGCTTAGTACAACATTAATTGAAAATTAGGGGGATTCAGTTATTGGATTTCAAAGTCAGAGCAAAAGCTTGTATACAGGTTTTCCACCTGTTCAATATTTTTATAGTAAGCATCATAGTTAAGGTACACCGGGGTAAGTTGAAACGGTACGTGTATCTCTTAGCGGAAATGAATATTCATTGTAATTATTTTTGAGAGGCATTATGTGCTACCACCAACTACTATATAAGAAATAATTTCAGTGTTTATTCACTTCCGCTAAGAGATACATCTACCGTTTCAACTTCCCCACGCGTTTCAACTTGCCCTGGTGTAAGGTAATGGATTTTGGTTGGATCCATTTATATCATAATAGACAGCGCAGTGCGTCTAAATGTATGCCGTGTTTTTTGTTTTACCTATGCATATATGGGCATTAAAAATGTTTATTTTGTGAAAAAGTTTACCTTTCTACACAGCAAAAAATTCTTAATTATAATTGTGATGTAAATATTCATTCACGTTAACTTGTGTTTCATTTCATGCAAACGAGCAACTTGTAACCAAAGTTGTTTACAAAAATGAGCTTTTGTATACAATATTTGCAACATTTCATGAAAAGTCTCAGAACTTTACACGGTTTATAATGTAAACCTATATGATATGTGGCGCTCCTTTTATGTGCATCACATTGAACAGGAATTTACACTACTTTTTCTAATAATAATTTATTGTGTTCTCTAATAGGATTTTATTGAAAGTTTTTACTCAGCAATGAATTAATAAAATTATAAAAAAAATCATGGTTGGACCTAAAAATGCATCATGGTTGGACCTATTATAAAAAGTACCATTTGTATGCTTAAGAACCCGCAGGACCGAGTATCATAAACCAATCAACAGCCGCTAAATGAAAGGTATTATGGTCACATAGAGCACATATTTTTTGAAATCGATCAACCCGTTCCGGAAATTTGACCGGAACATGCTGCGGTTTATTTGAGGCATGAGGCTAATTGCGACCTCAAACGAATAAAACTTATTATGAGACACCTCAAATCTCATTAGAATTCAAAAACTAGTTGAATGGTAGTCATTTGTTGGGCCTAGTGCCACATTGGCCATACCTGGCTATGTTTCGATCCCCCGGAGAAGTGGCCAGTTTCTGAATATGGGCAAAAACCATTGAATTACATTGACATTCAACAGCCTGTTCAATGGAAATTATAAGGAATAGCCAGGATCACGCTGGCCACATCCAGTGAATTTCCGGAAACCCCTAGGGAAGTAGCCAGTTTTAGACTTGGATCAAAATCCATTGTGCGATACCTCAAATCACATGAGAATTGATATATTTCATCTATGCTCTGTTTGAGAAAGTTTTGACTAGGAAAGTATATAGAAAATCATGTTGATGCGCGCGTAGGAAACTGTAAGCAAACCGAAGTCTTGATAATACCGAACTCTCTCTGCAGCGGTCTAGGGTCGTTTTGGAGAACTATCTGCCTGACGATCCTTCGCATCCAACTGACTGTAAAACATATCTGCAATTAGATTAACATCCGAAGTCCATCCTGTTTTACATATTCTGCTAAAAAAATACTTTCTAAGCTCCGCCCCTGACAGGATTTCCCGCCGTTTTTTTTATGAATTGGGCGGGCCAGAAAGTATCTTTTGTTCAGAATATGTAAAAAAAGGATGTACTTTGCATATTAATCGAATTGCATATAAAGAGGTACCAGATATGTTTTACAGTCAGTTGTTGATAAATCACAATCATCATCGTAAGCGAATTTTTTTCTCAAATTTGAATGTTTGGCTCTATGGGCAGAAGTGGGTAAAACATTAATGGAAATAATTTTACTTAATTGTAGTTTGGTTACTTTCAGGTTGTCAGTGTAGGAGAGGGGGGTGGGGGGATTGGAGTGATCTAGTTGAACCCAGGCTCCTTCGACCCCATCGCGGGTTGTCAAGGTGATCACGCAGTGATCGACCTCTAGGGGTGTTTACATCTGTGCTTATTTGCTAGCGCATACTGGTAGACTCTGATGCCCTGCTTACATTATGCTGGCTACTTTTTTACACAGTGCTAGTAAATCCGCATAGATGTAAACACCACATTAGCCGCTGACTTGCTCCTGCTTGCTGCAGGATCCAATGCCACGCCATCCGAAGCGATAATGAGCAGAGGCATGACAGCAGCGCTGTTTTATATCTTTTTAGGTTCAAACAGAACAATGTGCAGCCAAATGGTACTCGATTATGATGACTGGGTTTGAGGAAAACGTTTATTTCAGAAAACATTGATAAAATTATCATTTACACATTTTTCAAAAGTTTTTTTTTATGGAAAATTTGAAAACTATTTATTTCAGCAGATTTGTAGAGTAATATCCTATCGATTAGCGTATTTGGATTTTAATTTCATCTATAAACGACAAAGTTATAAACGTTCAAAATCTAACAATATTTCACCATACATATTTTTTGATTTCCACCCCAGTATAGTCGACAAAGACGTAATTATACGTAAAAAAAAAGAGCATTACATATTTCATTGAATTGTATATGAAAGTTTTGATTGACTTTCAATCTGACACTCGTCATCGCAAATTCTCGAATTCAACAGAGATAAATAACATCGTTAATTGAAAGGGACAATGCTTCAACCTAATCAGCCCTATCAGCTTTTGTTTTGGATTGTCGGAGTGGCAGATTGGATTCCAGAAAGGGAGATCAACGGTGGATGCAATCCGGACAGTGGTCAAGAGAGCCAAGAAGGCGTCGAAACAGAAGTGGAGAGGATATAGATATTGCGCCATGATAACGACCGACGTTAAGAATGCGTTCAACAGCGCCGGCTGGGAGTCCATCGCCGAAGCGCTGCATAGAATGAGGGTCCCTGAATACCTGTGCAGGATCCTCAGGAGTTATTTCCTCAACCGGGTTCTGGTCTACGAGACAGATATGGGACATTAGACTGATGCAAAACTTGAAATTTTCGCTCCACAGTGCTTAAATGGTTCCAAATTGGGTCCTGATTATCCTCCCAAAATTTGAACTCCTTAAGTAAGAACCTGACTTGGCACAAACCATTTGAAGTTTATGTGGAAATTACTATGGGGAAACCATTATTTCGGTTCATATATATCTCAAAATTCACCAGTTCACTCTTCTTTAGAAAATGATAGCTGAGCTTGTTGAAATTTTTTTCAGCTACAACTATGTTGAAGACCACTTTTCGATCAAATGTAAGGAACAAAAATTATTAATGATTCAAGTCACTGATGTCTTATGATCTTATACTCAATCAACTGTTCAGCAGGCAACATTGGTGCTTATGGCGCGTAGAATAGAGGACAAAACTCATGGCTACTATGTCACTCTGCAGAATACAGTGTTGCCCACAATACAGTTGCTTAATCTTGCCATAAGATTATCAATCTCTTAAACAATTAATAACTATTTAAATTGACGTTTGGCTGAAAAACGATTTTCTGCAAAGTTGTAGCTGATAAAAATTCCCATAAAATTAGCAATACAACTTGTTAACAGTACAATATGGAAAAAGGCTAGAAGATAATGAACAAAACATTTGGTTTTCCCATAGTAATTTCCATGTATACTTCAAATGGTTTGTGCCGAGTCAGTTTCTTATCAAATGAGTTTAAGCTTTCGGAGGCTAATCAGAACCCGATTTGAAACCGGTTAACTGTGGAGAGAAAATTTCAAATTTTGCATCAGTCTATTGGGGCATAGATCGAGCTCCACAAGGATCCATTCTTGGTCTTTGCCTTGAAGCGCGTGTTGAGATACCTGGGAGTGACGAACTATGACCGGCTAAACTTCAACAGACACTTCGAATATGTCTGTGAGAATGCTTGGAAGGTCATCAGCACAATAGCTAGAATCATGCTGAACATTTCTATTCCTAGCAATATCAAGAGGCGTCTTCTGGCTAGGTATGGAGGTCCAGCCTGATTTGCAGCACTGAAAACGAAGCAGAACCAAAGGAAACTGAGCAGTACGTTCCGGCTCATGGCCATGCGAGTCGTGAGTGCGTACAGAACCATCTCATCGGAAGCAGTATGTGCTATCGCCGGAATGATCCCTATCGGCATCACCCGGCGGAGGACAGTGAGTGCTACATTCGGAGAGAAGCCGGTAGAGTACGGAAAGTGGTGAAAGCGGAGTCTTTGGCAAAGTAGCAATAGGAGTGGAACACGGTGGATAACGGTAGATGGACACATCGGTTCTTACCGATTCTTTCGACCTAGGTGAACAGATAACACGGAAAATTATTATTATTTAGCTTTATTTAGGAGGCTTTCAGCCTTAGGCTGGTTCGCCTCCAATAACACGGAAAAGTCAACCACCACCGGACGCAGTTCCTGTCTGGCCACGGCTGCCTCAGGAAATACCTGCATCGGTTCGGACACGCAGCGTCACCCCTCTGGCCGGAGTGTGGCAACGTGGATGAAACGCCGGAGCATGTGGTCTTCGACTGTCCAAGGTGCGAGACAGTGCCAAGGGAGACGCCTGTCCTTAACGTGGAGAATGTCGTCGATGAAATGTGTCCAGAGGAAGGCACTTGGAATGGAAAGAGGAGCAGCGATCTAGCAACGTCAGCTAGTACTGAGAGTATGAGAAGTACCAGCCCCAATCGAAGTAGTCGCTTCAGCGTGGTCCTGTTACCACCCCGTGCCAACTTCAATACAGGTCTGGCTAAACAATTTCCCAGATGACTGTTCTGCAGCTCTTCTAGTGATTATGGGTGAAACTCCATTAAATTTGTTTTGCAAAACACGTAAACAAGCGCTGATGGTCGTATTATCCCATAGCATCCCGTACCCTATAAGGATTCCATTATTCTGTAATAGTTTTGATCAAAAAATAATCGGAAATATTTTCCCGATTTTGTCAGTTTCCCGATTTTGTCAGCCTGAAATTTGAGAAGGTGCTGACAAAATCGGAAAAGCACTGTAGTCGAAATCTCGGCTAGCCAAGACATCTCTAACGGGTATCGCGGGTTGTTTTCCTCGGGCCCTGAGGGATGTGGATAACTCAGATCTGGCAACACGGTGTAGTGTACATGACCAAACAACATGCTCGATATCATGATAACCACTGCCACACGCACATAAATTGCTGCCTGAGAGCCCAATTCGATAGAAGTGCGAGTCTAACGAACAGCAATTGGACATAAGCCTTGACATAACGCGTATAAAGTGACGGCTCATGTCCAACCCTTTGAACCATGGGACATATTGAACTTGAAATAAAAAAAATAAACAGATACCGTGGAGGCACCAAATTCGAAGCTCTAAATTGACACACTCAATAATGTTCGACTATTTTCAATCTTTATTTTTTTTTAATGTTGCTTCTGCAAATATTAAGCGTGATTACCTCTCACCCCAGCAGTCCTGGGTTCAATCCCAGTCGGCGCCGCCGGGATGTTCTGAGGCATAACATCTCTGATCACGGAGAACTAAAGCCGTTAGTCCCCGGTTCATAAGTTGATGGGTCGATAGGTAGGGTTCAGGTGTGGGAGCTGCCTCTCTGGCGTCGGTAGCATTGGTGCTCAGCACGGAAAACAAGATCGACGAAAAACAAATCAAGCAAAAAAACTGCATTTTTTCAAATTTAGCTGCTTCGGAGATGCTTTATTGCCGGAAGTCGTGCTTATTACGGATTCCACAAGCCCTTGTTGTCTGGTAAACCCATCCCAGGTATACTAAGCAATGCTTAGTAAGCATACCTTGTAAATGATGCACATGATTCCGGTAGTTCTCTCATACCGCTCTCTCAAATTCGTAAAATCTTACACGGTAACGGCAAAACACCCAATAATGACAACAAACTATGCATTTTCGAGCGAAACTGGGAGTACCCATTAAATGAGTTAAATTTTATCCATTTATAAGTAATAACAACTACAAAAGTAGGTAGTAAGTATTCATATTTGAGTAACAAATACTCATATATGGGTCATTTGTTTACTGTTGCAGTCAATATCGAGTCTTTTATAGTTATTATTGAGTATTTTGCGGTAACCGTGTAGGTCACTCAAAGAATTAGTAATTTTTTACTAGAATATGATTAAATGTTATTCATATCTGAGGGACATTTACTCATATATGAGCGACATTCATATATGAGTAAAAAATTTACTTATTTGGCGGGGTATGTGAAAACGGCGTATGGAGGAGAAGAATTTATCACGAGCTGGCGCAACTATATGACGAGCCCAGTGTACAGAAAGCCGCTAAAGCTGGAAAGGCACAATTGACAAGGTACGCTGTAAGAATGCCGTACAACAATCTCTCAAAAATGGTGTCTGCCTCGAACCCGATCGGTACAACAGGCAAAGGAGTGCAGCGAGCTAGGTGGTTTTACCAAGTGCAGCATGATCATGAAGTGTGGGACGCTCAAGAAATTGGAGGCAAGCAGCCATGAACCGAGTAACATTGTAATGTAGGTGAAATCCCGAGGGACGTCGGCAAAAGTAAAGTAAGAAAGCTATTTTTAGTAAAGAATGTGCGTCGATGTCAAACTTTTCCGATCTCACTCAGCGATAGGGTTAACTACCCCATTTCCGGCCTATTAAGCACATCCCGCACATAGTCTTTCTTAATCTAGCGCAGTTTAGCACCAAACGGAATGTTATTATCTTTGATGGCTTCCAAATTTATTTACCTTTCCGTACGTACCAAAAGATTTGATAAAGATAAACCAATCGTTGAGATATTGTCAAAAGTCTAAAACTACTTCTTGACGCCAAACTCGGCCTAACGCATTGAAACGCAATTGTAACACCAGTGAATTCACTTCGGCCTATCGGATGAAGATAAAAATTGATTCGGTCGGGAGCGCTTCTTTTTTTTGGGAATAATGGGTGCAAACCTTCATATCACGTGTTCTCATTGACTTCGTTCGGTAGCTTATTAACTAAAGTATCGTACCAAATGCATAATTGACGTGTTAACTATGAAATCATGGATTTATTGGAAGTTTTCTGCACGATAGGCCCAAAACGGGCGATTAGGCCGAAGTAGTTCTCTACCCTATTAACATTTTTTTCCAACAAACGGTTGCAATATCCCTTGCATTTTCTAATAACTCCACCCCATGCAATTTATAATTTATCCTAATTTACAAACACATCCAACTCATTTACTGGCATCAACAAGCTATTAGCTTGGGAAAAATACCCTCCGATCCTAGTCCAAAAGACCATCATGTCTCACGCGTTTATCGCCCTTCACTGCGTTGAATCCATTGCGGAAACGGGGAACAACCTCCCATCCCTAAATTAACTAACACCCGTTGTTGTTCGATGCTGTTTGTGTTGTCACGCTAATTTTTTTATGAGCTCGAACCTCGAACCTCCCTCCGCCTTACAGTGGTTGGTGACCGTCTAAATTTATGTTGACACTTTGGTGTGTTCGAAAAATAAGAAACACATGGTGGCGGCACTTATCGGCGAGTTGGTTGTAGAGAGGGAGAAATAAATAAAACTAGATGTTTAGTGATGCGTGCAAAAGCGCAGTCATAAATTCAATTCTGCCCATGCCGGAGATGTTTGTGTGTGAGTTATGTACACGGCATAAGTATGTATTCAGTGGAATCTAATGGCGGTGGCAGCGCTGTGTGCGATCGATCGGCACAGTGGGATCACTTAAACTTAAACTTTTTTGCTGGCTCAACTATAGTGATGAAAATTCTAACATTTTGCCTCACTATTCCACAATCGGCAACAGAAGCAGCAGTTTACGGCACCCATCAGCGAGACCAGAGATGTCTATTTGTTTTCCACTATTTTTTTCTTCTAAGCTTTTACGCTTCTGTTGTGAGCGTTGTGCCTGCTCTCAACTTAGTGTTCTTGAAGCACTACTACAGTTATTAATTGAGAGCTTTCTATGGAAACCAATGCATGAATTTGAAAATTGTGTGGTCAGGGAAGTCCAAAAAATGCTCAACCCGAAAGATTTCCTCGACTGGACCGGAAATCGAACCCGCTGCCTCCGGCTAGATAATACCGTGCCTTTACTGACTAGGCGATTTGAGGCCCCAGCGTCACGCTATTAAGAGGAAGCATACCGCACCGGGAGGCTGCCATTCGGACTGTTTGTATCGTTTCGGCTAGGAACCTATTAAGAGTGTCATTAAGACCTGAAGCAATTGATTTATCACTCCGGGCGAGGGTTATTCATAAAATTTCAGCAAACCACCCCTTCTGCATTGACAGCTGTGCAAATATGTGCGGTGGTCCCCAGTACAAAATGGCCGATAATGAAGGCCCTGCCGCGCCGCCGACGGTCGTACAGTTCACCCGGGAGGTCGAGGACACTCCCTCGTCTCTCGGTGTGCTCTTTTGTGCGAAAGTAACGACTCATTAAAACGGTACTGTCTCTCACTCGGAGTGCCAAGATGAAGTCATTCATGTTGAAAAATCTGACCGTTTAACCCCGGTAAAATGTTTCTTTTTCTGCTCGCACTGCCTGGTTGTTTAAAACATTCGAACGAACCAAACCACCCCTCGCCCCTTGACTGTGTTTGAACAATGCAATTTGGACAGCAGCTCGCGCGATCAATTAGCGCACACGATACCGTTCCATTGTTCCTGGGTGCAGTTGGACCCAGCAGCGGTGTCAAGTGGCACACCCTCAACAACGTTGCAGGAACGCAGGTTCGATGCACTCGCTGCTGACTGATGCAGGCAGTTCTTCAATATAATCGCACAATCGCTGCTGTGATGAACGACAGCGCGCGGATTCAATTTTCACGTCCCTGGACAATCCAAAACGAGGAATTTTAATTTTCATCGCGTGAGGATTGCCCCGATATCATCTTCTTGACGGTGCGTCGCGTCAGTCGCCGTGCGAGAGCACGGGAGAGATAATTTATCTTCGTTTTTAAAATGTTCATTATAAGCAAATTTGACAGTTGAATATGTGTCGTTGACATGTGGTACGTGTAGCCTGATATTTGCACGGCGGGCGATGTTCGAGCGATGGATGAGCTCAAGCCTTCTTCATGCTGTTGGGCCTGGCCTCAAAGGGAAGATTTAATTTTAGATGAGTTCACGGAAATACCTTACATTTGGGTTTCTGATTATTGTTTTTTCGTTTATCATTGACCTAAATCGGGAAACGGAGAGCATCTTGCTTCATGACAAGTTGTTGGGTGGGAATTGATGAGCAGATGCTGGGATAGTGGCTAAGTAGATTTACGAAAACAAAAAAAAAATATGATAACAATGTAATTCTT